GCATACAGACTGGACCAGATATGCACTGAACTATTTGCCTCGACCTCCCTCTTGAACTCCAACTATTTGAAAAACACCTTAACCCTCTAACTTTGCCCTGTTCCTCTATTCTCCTATGTATATGAAGTGACTTGTTACAGATTTGAGAGAACCTTTGTTCTCCCCTTGGAATGTTGAGTCCACTGGTTGGTCCAATCAATGGCTATCGTTCTTAGTCTTTAGCTGTATTGAGTCCTGTTGAACTGTATTAGAGCTAGATAAACACTTCCATCGTCCCTGCTCTCTAAAACTGAGTTGATTCTTCAAACTTCCAGAGCCGTGGCACTGAAAGAGGTGACGAAATGACTATATTAGACAAGTGGAAGCAAGTATTTCACTCAGTTATGGTCTGACAAACATTATACCAATAATATTAAAATAATACCAACCAATGTATTGTCATGTTTTTGCTATTATTTTGAGAAGCACGATATGAAAATGTAAAAACTAATTAAAATTTTAACTATCCCCTTGGACAAGATGTTAGTCAAATTCTATGAACTTAGAATGACACCTAACAAACGCAATGGTGACTATGGAAAATAGAATAAGTCCTTTAAGCTCTTGCGAAAGAAGTGATTTTTGTCCATTCAAATCTCTTCTCCAAAGGAATAATTAAAGCTGAACTCTGTGGGGTCATCTAAGAACGAACCAGGGTGCTGCTCTAGACATGTTGAGACATCGGTGTTTGCTTGCTAATGCCCTATAGTGGAAATCTATTTCTCATTATATAAATCTGACAGGTTGTTTTCTTGGGACGAAAATAAAACGAGGTGGGAATGTCTTGCTGTATCCACGCCAATATTTTCATCATTAACCATTCTGTGGCAGTGGGAGAGGACTATGAAAGTGAGTTCATGCACTAGTTAAGTTTTTTTGAGAGGGAAGAGGATCACCAAATTTGTTACTTGAAAGAAAATCAGAGTCTTGTGGAGAGATTCCGTTTCGTTTGAGCAGATTAAGTTAACTACTGCAGAACTCGTCTGTGGATCACAACAGAGGTACCAATTTTGTAGCGTTGTGCACGTCTCAGATTAAAGTCACATCATTCACTTCAATTTTAGGAATTTTTAAAAGTGTTCAATTTGCCTAGAATTTTCTGATTAAATTTTATGGTACTTGATAGTGGTTGTTGGCGAGAAGTATTATTTTTTAGATTTACTTCCCTTTTATTTATTTGATATCAAATTTGTGCTCTATACTAAGGTTAGTGATTATGATAGCACAAAATTTGCCACGGCTGTCTTTAAAAGAAGATTAATGTCTCAAGCTGAACTGCTACACACTCAACTTTTTCGTATATTATAAACCTTGTTGTACATATGTAATAGGAGCTTTATTACTCATCGACTGTGTTAGAGATAGTAGTTCCATCATTGTACAGGATATTATGTTTCCTTCAAAATAATTTCATTTTATTAAGGCTTTTAACTTTTCAATTTATTTTTTATTTATTATCGCTTACTAATCACTGTTGCCAATATGCCTAGGTAAAATATAATGTCTTGTCATGCTTGGGTTTATTTTAACATATCCTTCCTACGAAATACTCTTTAATCTCTTTTCAATTACATAAATTCCTATTACGAATTCTCTTTAATCTTGAGGTTTGCCATTACCCGGTTGAACTTCTCAAAATCAATAAAGAATCCTAATGGCTAAATGATAAAGATGGGTGTTTTATCAAAATCGCATTGTGAGTACAACTTTTACAAAATGGTAAGATCAATACCGTTTTGACTAAGAAACTGTATAGTAGATCTCCTACATTCTACTAGATATTCTTTTTTATCACTCTTTTACTACGTGCTGGATCATTAAGGATTTATCAAATACTTTTTAACTACTCTCCAATATTCATGCTAAGTGAATACAATATACCACTTTAATTTAATATTAAAGAAAATAAGAGATAATATATATTCATATGTCTTTCATTATATTATATAATTAAATTCAATGCAGATATGGGACTTTCAATAGACATTTATTCCCAGTTCAATTATAAAGGCCTCAAATATTGCATTTAAAAGTTTAGTTGGCTCTAACCTCAACAAATACGCTCAAGCATTTGGAATTTATAGGTAATTAATTACAAAAACTACTGAAATATCCTGTTGAATGAACACAAGCTCAAGATGTCATTCTAAAAAAATGATAAAATTGATATATTATATATATATAGTTAATTAATTAATTAGTGTAACTAAATTACCGCGAAAACCATTATTTTCAACTCATGTTTCAGCTTCCTCTTCCTCATTTTCTTCAATATCTGAGTCTATTTTTTTATCATCCACGGCTGACTCCTTATCGTCATCTACGTCAACATCTTCAGCAATCTCGTTGTCGTCTTGATTGTCTTCTTCAACGCCTTTGTCAATATATCTTTCATCCTGTTTACATTTACACAATTATACAAATATGCATACAAGGCCGAAGAAGTGACCTTATAATCACTTCTTTTCCTTTAGATTTACAAACTTGTTTAATTTCTTGGTTTTTAGGTTTTAAAAGGGTTTACAAATAAGAGAAATATCTTTTCGAATTTGTCAAACTTAATTAAACGCTAAAACACTTCAATACTTACGGTAAGTTAGGACACAAAACTCATATAGAAAAAGTTAGAACTGATGCGAAATTTTTTACAATGGTTACATTAGAAACTGTAGTTATGAGGATTCACAAAACGTAACACGGTTTTGAAGGTTGTACATTTTGAACACTAACTTATCTACCGCGTAAAAATGCTTCATTATTTGCATAAAGTCAACTAAGCATAAAATAATTTAGCCTCTATGGCGCTTCTCGGCTCCCTTAAGTACTACGCATGCGTTCTCTTTTACTTGCTCCTTTGTATTTTTTTCTCATTTTCATTTCAATATTTTTGTGAACTTAGTACATGTAAGTTGGTAAAGCAATCTATATAAAAATTTAACAGCTTTTTAAAATATGATTATGTAAGGAGAATATATCTTCTCAATCATACTCGATGGTGTTTACTTTAATATAAAACTTATATATTATTAGTACCACTCCTTCAGCCCCCACTATTCATTTTTCGGCAACAGTATAGGTGATTTTTCTCCCAGATTGACCAACTCCAGGTCTAGTCAATAATTAAAAATGATAGATCTAGAACTTACAAGCGTTTGGAAAAAGTTATGAGAGTTTGAGAGTTCTTCTGGTGTCGTCTTTTCTCTATCTAGACGTCGGAGCTTGTTAATCATTCCCAATGTTATTTGGCGGTAGTTCTCCCGATCGGCAACCGGATTACCTGTAAAAACGAACTTTGATAACTAACTATTCTTTCCATAAAAAATAAGTTGTATTAATGAATATTATATCGTTCTGTCTTACAATAGCAACAATAAAGACAAGGCCATATCGGACTAACGCGTACATTAATCCGTTTTCTTTATTATCATCAGTTTCCATTACATTTCAATTTTTCCCCTTTAATTCTTGACGGAATCAAAATGCAGGAAAGAATTCCTAACTCACAGAATAGCCCACATCCCATAATTAATTTTTCGACAACTTCGAGCATATATAAATATATTGGCAATCAAATTCCTATTGGGAGCGTTAGTGGAGGCCTAATTACGTCAGAGCAGTTAAATATCTTTCACACTTGTTTATTTTACTCACTTAAATTTTAAGATGGAGAAAGCATGTGGAATGATGCAGCAAGAAATTTACATACCGCTTAAGATGAGTGTTCTTAAGGAGAGTATAAATGACAATTTCTTCACTTCGGCAAATCGATCTATTAAGTTTCCCCTTAATTATGCATATGTCATCATTTTTAAAGGAATATATACCCTAGGTTTAGGTATTTAAGCTTCGGAAGCCCGTTGATGAATCCATCTAAATGTTCGATACGGTTATCCATTAGATAAAGCGTTACGAGTCCTTGCATTTTTGAGAGATCTCCAACACTACGTAAGCGGTTTCCACTGCAATAGAGCGTTTTTAAGGCGTAAAGATTTTCAAGCCCATCTGTGGATGTGATTTTATTACCATGCAACTCCAAAGTTTCGAGAGAGCGAAGTTTGAATTGATTAAGTGGAGGTGCGTCAATTCCACGGAGGGTTTCAATTTCATTATCTAACAACGATATTTGTGATTCGATAATTAGTATGAATACACCAGGTTATCATAACATATTGACAAATCCTACTATTTAGAATAAGATGTTTCAGACGACCATGATTAATGTAATCGGTAGACTTGAGTTTGTTGTAGGAAAGATCCATAAATTGTAGATACTGTAGGTTTTTGTGTGTGCCGGGCAGAGTAACATAATTGTGGTCGACTTTGAGGTACATTAAATATTCTGCAGCGAAAAGTGGAGTTAAATCGGAAATATAATTGTAACTCAGATTAACGAAACGAAGAAACCGAAAATTCTCAAGGATACTGATGTCCGTTATCTTTCTAAAACACAGAAGCACAAAAATAGATGTGAATATAAAACCTATATGTAAAATACTGGTTATAACACCGATATTTGTTTCACATTATTAAATCATATATAACTAACTTATTTGTACAAGTAAACTTTGTGAATGCATGTGAAAACCCATAGCCCAATCTATGAAGTAAAGAAAGACAGCACGCTGCAAGTTCATGAGTCAAAGGCTTATCCGGAATAACCTATAGAATTTATTTTCAAGTACTCACTATTTACCATGGGAGTAATTTCATCATTACTAATTCTATTTTCGTCTTCAGATTCCGATTTAGAATTTTTAGATTCATCATCAACTTTTCCTTCTTCTTCTTCTTCTTCTTCTTCTTCTTCATTTTTATAACTACCTTCACTAACAGTCTCTTCTATAGATGACATGGTGACGAAAACGCATTCGCATGTGATCGGTTGCTAGGTTATAATATATACAAAATGATCTAAAACAAGTCTTAATTATAATAACACGTTTTAATATTTTTATTGCTTTTTATTAGCAATGGAATGATATTTTGTTTAACCCAACAAGCACGATATCCGAAATAAAAAATGCCTTGTTTTTAGCATTCGAGAGAAATGATTAGTGTAAGAAATCATAGACTTATGATCATAAGTTCGAATCACCATTTCGATTGCTTTATGGGTTGGACGATGTTACGTTTAAAATATTTATTTATACCAAATGGCAGGCTTTATGATAGTTATAATTAGCCCTTTAGTTGACTTCTTGCTTTACAAAGGGGAAGAGCATCAGTCACAAAATGTCGAGGGGGCATAATAATGAGTACTGTGGAAGTGGTGGAATATAACTTACAGCCAAGTCATGGTTGTTTGAAGTCAACTGTCGACTTATAGACTTTTTGTCGCATGAGTATAAGTTGCCCAGAGTGCTCCACGTTTGCAATGTATTGTTGTGGTAATACTAAGATATTCCGTCGTGGAAGAAAACGTGCGATCAAATTTATTATTCGCGCATTACTCATGCACTTTCATTGTCTTCAAAGTGATTGATTTTCGCTCACTAATAGTTGAAGGAAGAGAGTTTGCTATCAAATGAAGGTAGCAAAATCATATCTTCATATACTTGAAAAAGCATCGGCAACTAGCAGCAAACGCAGATGCTGTAAAGTTATAAAGGTTCTATGGGTACTATTAACTTCTCACCGAGGCGTAGGTGAAGCTATTGCCCTGCAATACAAGCAAATTCTACCATCGTTCAACTGTAATAAGAATATTGGCGATAGTATTCAATACAGCCAACGCAGAAATGTAAACGTCAGTGATACAAGAGACGAAACTTTAAAAATTCTCGAATGACGGAGTAGAGAACACGATTACTTTGGGATTAAATAGATGGCTCCAGTAAATGAAACGAGACCGCTTTGGTGATATATAGTGTCTAGTTGTCATCATTATAAATCACTCTCCGAACCATAAAGTGCGAAACCATGTAAAGTTAAAATAGTAATTTGATCTTTCAGTCGCTTCTGCATTCATAAAATTAATTTACAAGTATTTCCTTGACTTACGACCAAAGATAGGTGAGGCTAAATAAGAAGGAAGTGAGCTGAATTGAGACGACTTAAGGTGTGCGCAAAATCTCTCTTTGGCGACAATAGTTTGAAAATCCCGTTCAAAGTAGGTAATAAATACCACTAAACCAAAACAATATAATGACAGTATGAAAGTAAGAACATGGACAATTTTCAAATGTACTCAGGTATCGAGTTTCAATGTCAGACAACACGGCAAAATTGTGGTTTTCTATGATGGAACTATCACCCTATCAAAAATGATTGTCGGAAAACTCTAACACAAGAGGTTATGGAACACGAATTTCTCACAAAAACAACTCTGGGATATTTTTCATAGAAATGGAGTCAAAGATATATTCGGAGGTAGATAGGACTACACACAGAATCCCAATACCACAAAAAATAGCATTCATATACTATAACATTATTTTAACTTAAGCTATGTTGTTGCTACCATTTTATCATTCTTGAAATCGTACAATGTACAGACCTAAAATGTTCTACATATAAGTACACGAACAATTTAACATCGCAGTAAAGTACTGTGCAAATCACAAAAGTTGAAGACAAAAATGAATTCAGATCCGTAAGATACCAGATATGACTGATAAGTGCAAACAAATAAAAAAGAAAGTTCAGATATACAGATTTATTAAATAGTTAAAAAAATACAATGCTTCAATAACCATACTTTTGATTTAATTTAGTTATGCCATCCCCAGTTTGGCCTGAAAAAAAGAGAAATAAGAGGAAACCACATGAGTTTTCATAACTACAAATTCTTCACATAGTAGTTAGGACATAGTTACCAATCAAGCAATTATCACACAAATCAAACGCTAAACGAGGATTGCACATATAAAATACTAAAAATTAACCTGGAGGAGGCAGCCAAAGGGCAAAATTGGGATCGTCTACATTTTCGTCGTACATTCCCATCGAAGGCGGCTCATCATGCGACGTCGGCTGAGAGGAAACAGAAACAGGTGATTCAGAATCGCTTAAGAAAAGAATACGTCTATAATAAAATAGCAATTACCTGAACAACGATAGAAGGTGAACCGGGGGTGGAATAGAGAATTGATCTTTTCGATTGCTTCTGCACTTCATTTTCATCGGACAAGGATCGCTGCTGTAGAAATTTCTCCGAAGATACTTCCAGGTTGTCCACCGGCTCCACAATCTAATTAATAAAATAAGACCAACTGAGTTATCGAAAACTACCTTAAATATTTATTAAATATGAACCATATTTGTTAGGAAATAAAAAATCCATCAAAAAAGTCATTTAGGGCAAAATGTTAGGAATTCGAATTAAAAGGAAATGATCGTTGAATTCCTGGAGTTACGTGTGCCGGAAAGGATGGAACAGCTGAACTCACAGATCAGCTGGGCAACAGTTGGCTGAGACAGCTAGAATCAAAAGCCGGTATTGGGAAAAACAAAATAGGAAGCATATTCCTTAAAATGAACAGATAGAAATCGAGAACAATAAGTTATCCTCGTAACAGAGGTAAAGCGAAATCTTTAAAACAAATCCCATTTTAAGAGATGAGTCTTTAAGATCCCCATTAAAAACAAAGCCAGGTTTTACTCCGGCCCCTAAATTACTTATTATACAGTTTCTGCTTTTCCGATATTTAATGTTTTAAGAGAAATAACACAGGGTCGGCGTTCAAACCTTAGTTGAAGTCGAGTATCCAACGTATTTGGCTTCTGTTGAGATCACAGAGGTTTCCTCATATTTAGTTTTCTCTTCACTGATCTTAAACGTAAAAACAGAGCTTTTAGGTTAGAGTAGACAAATAGTGCGATAGGCACCAAAATACGTACCAACTCAAGTTCAGAGGACCTATTCTGAGTTGGTTTGTTTTCAATCGCTTCTTCATCAGGTTGGCCTGACCCCTAAGCGAATAGAAACGGCGTTCATTAAAACTATATAATGTGAAGGCACATCAGTTAATTAATAGCAGGCAGTGTAACGATATAAAAACATTGCTCAAAGTGAAATCATTTAACATTTAGAGCGACCACCATATTACAGACGATAGCGAATAAACCACTTCTAGTCGTCGCCATCTTTTCTCATCCCAAAAACAATACTTTGACTCGTTGATGTTCGATATCTAACTGATAAACCACTGATTCCACTTTATCTATTTATAAACATAGAACCTGGTTAGACCCGAAGTATGCATATATCAATAGTACTTTCTTACTACCCGTATTTCTAACCAGGTTCGATAATCAAGACGGCTGAGTTCAGGATTACTCGCTGGTTGAGGTATGAGTGTCTACTAGGTCTCTCCGATTTCTGTGCAAAATGAGTTGTCATAATTGAAGAATCTAACCATTTTTTACATATCTAGTAATAAAATATAAAACTAACTAGAAAATGAAAGCTTATTTACCATATCGTAGATAGATAAATAGAAGACTAACCTGCTTAGCGCCACCGATTAACTCTTCTTCATCTTCATCAACATCGGGAACAAATGTGTCTTCTTCTCCGTCAATATTTCTTCTCTTTTCGAAGTCAGTACAATTAGCTACCTTAGGTAACTGACGCTTCAGGGCATTCAATTTGCTCTCTGCGTAACCGGAATCCTGTTTACTAAAAGGAAAGGAAGCTTAGGAATGCTCGAAATCACTCCTACTTATCATAGATGTATTTACTATAAGAAGTGCAATTGAAAGTGACCGGAGTAGCATTATTAGAACATATCTTAAAAAGTTTTGGTCAAGAAATATTCTTAACCAGAGCATTCAACATGACCATTAAATGCATGCACAGGTAAAATTTATACCAGAGTAAAAATAATAGCAAATATATGTATTACAAAGCAAAAAAGTAGTATCATTTATAGCATAATTATGGCAACTTTACAAAATATGTGCATGGGACTCGTTATATTTTCGGGCGTCTACCGATTCAATAAAAAATTGTATTCCGTCTTAGTTCCAGGTCACAGAAACCCCCTCCCATTTTACCTGAGTTAAAACTACGGGAAACTGATACCTGATAATAGAATAAACATACAATGGCGATGCCAGTAAACATCTACGGCTATTAATAGAAGAAGAGCCTAATTGTGTCGTGCGCCAGCAGCATATTATTCTGTCGCAGGTTTAAAAATGAATCCAATCACTGCTTTTCCATATATTGGAAGAGTAAAATTCAAATATTGTTCTCAACTTCAATTTTTGTTCAAGCGATGACCTCAATTCAATGTGCAACTAATTCATTTACAGCAACGAAGTGATGTAATGAATAGAGAAATCCTATAATCCAATAGAAATAGGAAGTCATTAACTAGAATTTAAATAACTATGGATTCTCTAAAAAGCAATTGATGGCTTTAACTAGACATGCTGGCATTAAAGCACCTTAGAAGAGTAACAAAAACTACAAAATTTAGGATACCCCTCTCGGCATCATATGAAAAATTGTAAATAGATGAGCTTCAAAATAAAGTATAAAAAAGGAAAACATACTTAGCGTCAACTTTTTCGATCAAAGTATTAGCAAGGGTAGCCCGAATGGCAGCAGAGGCTGTCGAAGATGAAGAAGTAGAAGAGGAAAAACGGATGGGATTATTACGAATGCCCGCGCGACGAAGCAGCCGCACTTCTTCCTGACGCAATGTAACCAAACGCCGCTTCAGTGCCTGCCGTTCAGCCCTCTTCGGTGCCCCTAAGAATACAGAGAACAACAACCCTCGTCAATTAATCTTAAAATCTAATTCGATTCATGCATTTTTAAACCAAAAAAACGATTTTGGAAAACTCCTTCACTATTTTCAGCAGTTCTCCTGCATCCTCGAAAAAACCAACGATGAGCGATTAAGATCGGCCTTAAGATTGTGAGTCATATTCAGACAGGCAATGTTCAGTTCGCCTTTTTAGGAGTCAAAACTTCATAAAAAGGGTTTGATTTGACTTTATATTGACAACGAAAGTGAGGATATGCTGGATCAGAAAGAAAGGAATAAGAAAATGGAGAGGAAGATACGTTTCCAAGACCAAAACTGTGAAGCCTTCTAGCCTTCGTTTGATAAAAGGAAAATAGGTTCAACAATTGAGCCTGTCACTTGAAATCTTTTATACCCTTTTGAAAAGGGAATTATTTAAATCAACTTCCATTAATCTCAGAAATAAGATCATCATTACATTAAAAAACTGACAGCTAAACTATGCAAAATTACAAATTGAATTAAACTTAATTTGCACTGATGAGGAAAGGAAGAAAAATAAATAGGAAATTTAATTTTGGTGTACCGACATAAAAAAGTTGTGCCTAAATTATTTATATATCAACTATAATTTAATTTCAGCATCATTTGCAACTCCTTTTCATTGCTATTGTATGTTTTAGTTCACATTTTGAAAAATTTATTAATTAAAAAGTTTTTTAATTAAAACATGGCTCCTAATGACTTTCGACTTCATTCGTATTGAGAAATGGCTTCCAGTTTGCATGTGCCATGAGTTAGAGTGATTAAGTGAAGAAAAAGCGAAAAATCAAAGTTACCATTTTTGATAGCCTCCATATAGGCTTCCAATTCATCCATTTCATTCGCGTTTTCAGCAGTAGCTTCCAGGGCTATTCACAGAAAAAAGAGATACGTGAACGTAAGTCAGATAGAAGGAGTAAATGAAGAAAAGGAAAGTCACCACGTTCTGCTGCATTTAGTTCATCTTCCAATCTGATCATCTCCTTTCCCAACTCCTCCAGTTTAGCCAGCTAAAAATACATAAATTCAAGCGCGCTAGAACTCAAAAGTGTAGTAAATTGATACCCACACAGCCAACAGCCCGCGATTCTAATCCAAACACGGAAGCACCCAACAAATAATTTTGACAATTAAAATTAACCACCAGAAAAATTAAAGGCTTTCCCTCGATTCACATCGAAATAGAACAATAGAAAAAATGTTTGAGTGTTTATAATGTTAAACTCTCTGGGATCCACCGTAAGCAATTTAAACAATGAGATAATGGGTACTTATTTTAAGAGATCACACAGAACAAATGGTGCTATAGAGATGCGAAACGAACATATAGAGGGCATAATTAAAGGGGGTTAGGGAATTGGTCAACATTATAGCATGAGCTCATTGAACAACATGCCATGATGTACGCTAAATAGTCCAATACTAACAATACAGTCCACAACAAATGCAATTTCAAATTAATGCCAACACTGGACGAGAAATAATATACCTCATTAAAGGTATTCACTTGCAAAACCGAAGACCCTAACCAACGTGCGAGTAAATAAAAACACCCTGATAAAGATAACTACAAAAGGAGCATTTGGTAGAACCCACTTAACTAAACTTCTACTCACTTACATTTTAGGTATTCAATCCATTTAAAGCTAGGAAAACAATGAGACACCAGACAAGATAGCATATACTCACCAAAGTAAAGGAATCTTCATCGGTTTTCATTGAGATAGAATTTTCATGATTGAGAGAAGCATTATCAACTCCGAGACGTCGCATGCGCTGACGTCTTCTAACTTCAACTTGACCGGTTCTATCGAGGAAGGTATCTTCATCAGAAGAGTAGTAATCATTCTCCTCCCAGTAAGCCTTTTCACGAGCTCGTCTCACGGCTTCAGCCCCTTTAAAAAGCCCAAGAACTGCTAGTTAAAAACTGAGTGGGAATGGCAAATTTCATGCACTGAATGACTAAGAGACCAACCTCTATTGGTGTCGAATTGGCCTAGACGATCAAGCATCCTGCAGGCCTCCAAAGCACAAGCTGCAATAGCCTCCTTCTTCTTACGTCCAGTCAGAGGGACCTCCGCATACACTGTTCCCTCTTCAAGTGGTAACCTGTGTACAAATATAAGGTGGCATTTAGTAACCCATAATGAACATACGAGTAATAGGCGTAATACGAAACGCAATTCTTTCATTGCAAAAGTTGACACCCATTATAACAGTCGAACAAGTCGGCAGTTATCGTTCAAAAGCCACTCGAGCAACTTCTGGAGTGTCATATTCTACATATTATCATTTTGTTTAGATAATCAGTATTAGCTGTTAACCGAAGCATTGGAATCCACAATTTTATTTCTTAACTAAGTATACCCAGCCTGTGTAGTTGAGTATTTCGGAATCAGCATAAAGGAATAATGAATTACAGAATTGTACCATTAGGAATTAATAGAAACGAGGTTTACTAACCACATTACAAGAAAATTGTTACCGAGAAAAGAGCATACTTAGAGTGAGTTGGCATGATTCAAAGACGCCTATTTTAGTCGTTAGAAACCACACAAGTTTTAAGTACGAGAGAAAAAGGAAAATTGAAAAAATGGACTCACTCAATACGGCACATTTGTTGACCGAATTTACCCTCGACGAATTCGTATTCCGGATCAAGACCTTCGCGATCAAAGAAAGCTTTCAATGCCTTCTTGGGATCTTCAGCATAATTCTTTTCATGACTTAAGCAGTTTCCGCTTTCTGCCAATCGTCGTTGCATTATTTCACCATTATATTCCTCTTCGGCATCAACTAGAGAGGAATAAAGGGGTTAAAGAGTTTAATCTTACCAGATATTCCCCAATTACATGAACCAACATTGTCACTGATTCCAGTGACTAGTTCTTCAGTTAGCTCATTCAGATTCTGCTCATTTCGCTCCGTTTTAAGGAGTTTTTTCCTTTTCTTCGTGACCAGCTCACTAAAGGACTCCTTAGTTTCTTCCTCCATATCATCCTCTGGTCCATTCAAAATGAGGAGACGAGTACTACTTCCAAGACGGAGGACGTAACCCACACGAAGTCGAATATACCTTCCAGGAGGTACCCTGTGCTTATTCACAAATGTCCCATGAGTGCTGTCGAAGTCGAATAAATACCAACCCGGGGTGGAATCTGCATTACAACCATATTGGAGGACTGCATGCGTACGACTAATTGAGGGATGTAAAAGGAGGGACACTCGTCCATCGGCCAAATTAGGGCTCAGAAGAGGAGCCGGCTGACGTCCAAGAATACAGTGATTTACTCCAGAGAGATGAATTGTATCATCAGGTAGAGGAACGCCGTTTTTAATTACTTCAATAAAGTAATTCGCTTCCGAGGGACAAGTCTGAGCCCATTCAGGAGGCTTGTAACACTTCTAAAAGAAGAGTAGGCCAGATTAATCACTTAAAGTTGGAATGAAGTATGAGTTTTTATTGGAAATATTAGTTACAGAAGTATCAACCCGTGGTTGTATTTCTGAAATATCATTAGCAGTAGATTTTTGTCGATTTACTGGTGGCTTGACAAAAGGAGCCTTGAAAAAAACCTCAGATCCGGAATTATTATTAATATTAGATAGAGATTCATTGTTCGATTCGATGTCCTCAACCTTAGGCTCAGCTGCCTCCATGCCTATAAACAGAACGCAAATGCACTTAGAGAAAACATAATGTTATTGAAAGGAAAAAAGGAAGTTCATTTAAAAATGCATTATATTTAATATTTATAACACAAGGCAGGGAGATGGAGAGAAGCAATGGAGTATGGCCTTAGAGAAGACCCTGTCGTTTGAGATCCTCGTAAGTTTTGCGGGAAACGACATTGCCTGCATGATCTTCCATTTCCTCTTCCACGTCAGGACGCCAGCGTTCAGCCTCCTTAGTGGTGCGGATGCGTTGCCACAGCGCCAAAGCTTCTTCAATTTTGGTCACATGGGCGAAGTGAGCGGTGTTAGGTATGCCGAGGCAACGCATACCGTGTGCATGACGCCATTCGGAGAAATGACGTTGGAAAGCTTTTGGACCGCGATATGTCTGATTTCCACAAATCTCACATGAGTAATACATATTCAAACCATGTAATTTGTATAACCAGTAAGGAATTGGCTAAAATAAAATAATCAAAGGGGAATTCAGATGCAATATTACAATGCAGATTGGTAATCAAAAACTGTTTGAAATATCAAATTGTAAATGAAAAATTTGAACAATAGCCCAAGTTGCCATATTCCTTAGATCACAGATAAAGAATTGATGTTGAATACTTAAAACAGAAACAGCTTCCATCCAGATAAAGACAACTCAAGAAGTGATACAAAAGTCAAATAAAACTGGCAACGTGTCAACGTAGCACATTAAGACTAATAAAATCAGCTTTAAAAAACTGTGATAGTTGATAAGTAAAAAAGGATACCAAGAAGAGAATACCTAATCCAAGGCAAATAAATGAATTCACAGATTAAGTAAACATTCTTGTTGAGTTCATCGATGGAGGCTACACAGCCAGTATTGCAGATGACTGCGTTTTGGCATGAGCAGATACTGATGGATAAGAAAAGGACCAAGTAGAATTACAAATCCAAAATTAAAAATATAAGTAAACGCACTTTGCCATCCCACCCCAGAGGAAGATTTTTGGGATTGTAGGGAATGTCATCCTCTTCGGCATCGCCGTTGGCATCCGTATTGGCAGAATTTACGTTAGCGGTGGTGAGGTCATTTTCAGTATCACTCTCTTCATCTTCGGCCTCCCGTTCGGCCAATGTTCGTGCCTGGCGTCGTTGCACATTCTCTATCGTAGCTGCCCGATGTTCGTTGAGAATCTCCGCCAACTGATATACACACGCCTCCAGCATTGCAATCTCCTTTATGCGATCTAAATCCCTGTTTGTAGAGAGAAATGATGGATGGTTGTTGTTAAGCTTATCATTATATATAATATAAGTACACCAATATCAACTATTCATCAAGTTCTTAACGCAGTACTCTGGAAATTCTAAATGATACAGCAAGCAAATGAATTTATCGCAAAATTGAATTTCGCAAGGATTTAATATAGGACATTCGCATATACGCAAACGTTTGCATTTGACGATAATAAATGGGGGAGCTGATCAACTTAAATAAATAATAGATCGACATGGTCTTGCACACTATTTATTTTAAGATTAGAAAGGAAAAAATCATTTAGAAACGAAAGTCACGATAAGAAATGCAACTCCAAATTTGCAGATAACTTAGAAAAATAACTTTATAGAACATCTACGACTTGTTATTTATTTCTTGCTGACAAAATCCATGATTGTGT